TTTGCAAATGCCACTTTTGAGACTCACAATCTTAATATAATTATATATTTTGTCCTCATAAGCTTTGAGATATAGAGTTAACCAATTTAAACCACCTAAGAAGCACTTTTTTTAAACTAATTACTCAGCAGAAAAACTTAGATGTAATTTTTTGACAGAGGTATTTGAGAATTGAAACTGTGGCCATTGGGTGGATCTAAAGGGCTCCTTGAAATTTCAACCCTTTCTTAAAATTATTCTAATGCTGTATATTCGATCCATGTTTAACGTCAGCTTTTGAGATAAAAATCATACACTTTATTGATTCTGTCTACGCTACAATTCATCAATTCATTCGTAAGCGAAGTATAGATTTATGTGTAGTACCTGCAGGAAGGTTACCTTTCAGAAGCTGCTTGTTGGATGGTTCTTTTACAGTTGTTCAAACAGACGAAGCTGATCCCTTTTGAACGTTTTCTGAGTTTAAATAAAAACTTTTTTTCTTGCTTCGCAAGACAATAATTACTGTTTGCATTCTCTAACTGTATGGACAATACGAAAATTTTAAAAACAGTTAAATTATGAAATTTTTAAAATTACTAACTTTTTCACAGAGTGTTTTGAAATAGAAGTCGTGGCAGTACTAAAGTCTCGTATAAACATCGTCTATGCTAAAAAAAGTGGACTGCAGTAAGCAGAATATAAAACCCCCAATGAGTAATCAATACCAAAGGAAAAAAAGAACAAATTCAGAGAAAAAGTTTATTTCAATGTTTCTCAGCGTATGTAAAAAGAGGGTTTAAAACACTGAATCCAGTGTACTACGCCTATGAATATTTAAAAAAAATGCTGAGGTGATGTCTTTAACACGTAACACATAGTTACAGTGTAGGTCGTATCAGCGAATTTAATTCTGATGGTTGAACAAAAGTCCTCGCCTATATCCATTTAAGATATGACAACAATTAACGCTTAACGCTCATCAAAGTACAAAGTTCTACCATTATGACAACAATCAGCTTTTCCAGAACATCGTAAGCGCGTAAGAAAAGACTGTGTCAAAAATGTCAACAGTTAGACTTGAAAAGAGAGGTGAAGGAAGATAAGATGAACAAATACTCTTCAAAAGCTGACTCAGCAGTTAATTATTTGTAGTGTTTTTAGGCTCTTCGTTACTAACTGAAAAATTCAACTGTTCTGAGAAGTGTTCAGGCGGCTATAGATGCCACTAAAATGCATGTAAACTACTGCTACATAAAGTATTCCTTTAATTCTTTCATTCTACATTGCGAATTTTATGGGTATTAGAACAGAATTTTAATCTTTGTCTGTGATTTCTCATACAAAAGAGCTATCGTTTAAGACATTTCTTCATCAAAATTTTCTACCCATCTACAGTTGAAATACCTGTTGAACACTGTCATTCAACTGAACTCTTTTATTACACCCATAGTTTCAATTCAGCTTTGCAGTTTTTGCACTATTTGTCCCACAATTAAACTGTCACATCGGTGCTATACCTTTCATCGTTTCCGTCACCTATCTAAAATTTTTCCCAATTTTAAAGGAACCGGCTGAGACTATGCGGCATATACTTATAAAATGGTTGCTTCAAAGTTCTAGTGGAGCGGCAACAGCAACAAAAACGTTCTGTTTCAGAAACCGTTCTAGTACACTTCCGCATATTGATCGCCAGCTTATTTATCATCAAATTTCTGGGTAATTATTTCATTGTATTTTCCGAGGTTTTAATTTTATACAAAAAATTCTACTGACTACATATAGGTATTTTTTTTTTTTTTTTTGCTCTGTGACAACATCTTCACATTAACTAAGCAATGAATTTCTAGCCGAAAAAATATCGTTTTATTGCCTAAGATGAATGCTGTTTAAGCTTTTTTTTTTTTTTTT